GGGTGGAAAGTATTGACCAAACATAGATTGGCTCGCACTACCACTTCATCGAGACGAACAATGCCCTGTCTTTCGATCGCGGCCGCGCGTATGGAAAACGTCTTGATATTCTAGCAGGTACCGCAGTCCGCTTCGAGCCGGGGGACGTCAAAACAGTGACCCTCTGCGCGATCGGAGGTGCAAAAGTCATTTCGGGCGGTAATTCTCTTGCAACTGGTCCCCTCGATCACGCATCACGCGACGCAATACTGTCGGATCTACTGAAACGCGGCTTCCTATCCATACCGGAGCCGGGTGCACAAGAGGTGCGTGGAGACACTTCAGTTAGCCGCGAGACATACATAGCGGCGTTCGGGCCGACTGTTGGGGATCGCGTGCGATTGGGAGATACAGAATTATGGATAGAGGTAGAGCGTGACGAGGTGAGTCACAATCTTGTTGTTACGAGGTGCTATCTTATACAATGTAGGCGGTATATGGTGATGAAGTCAAATTTGGTGGAGGCGAGTCCTACTCATGAACCAATGCAAACCTATTTGACAACCTTTCTGCAGGAAAATCTATCCGTGAAGGCATGGGACAGGCAACGAATCGCTCGGCTTTGGAGGCCCTTGATCTCGTTATCACCAGCGCGCTCATTGTTGATTGGTCAGGAATATACAAGGTGAGCAGCCGTCTTCTGAACCCAGCTCCCAAGCTGAACCTTGGCTCAGGCGGACATCGGGGTGAAAGATGGGTCCATCGTAGGTCTTGGAAAGGCCGGCAACCCAGATGTCATGGATGGCGTTCACCCATCGCTAATCGTCGGATCAAGTACCGAAGTAATTGCTGGAGAGAAACTTATTGTCACTGCTGGCGCGATCGACGCACATGTCCACTATATCTCACCAACACAAGTCATCGAAGCGCTTTCTTCGGGTACCACAACGATGATTGGTGGAGGGACTGGTCCCAGTGCCGGAACAAACGCGACAACGTGCACACCAAGCCCGTTTTACATCAAGCACATGTTGGCCGCCACAGATACGTTACCGATGAACTTTGCCTTCACCGGGAAAGGCAATGACGCAGGCCCTTCTGCCCTTGAAGACATTGTCAAAGCTGGCGCAGCGGGTTTGAAGCTCCACGAAGACTGGGGATCCACTCCAGCAGCCATCGTCAATGCATTGAACGTTGGGGATGCTCACGACGTCCAGGTTTGTTGTGATCGTATGCCACAGTGTTGTTGCGCACTCAGTGACACTTCAGGTAAACATACACACAGATACTCTGAACGAATCTGGCTTCGTAGAGAGTATGTCTCGCAGAGATAGTGTTGTCCCTTTGCTCATCTCGTTATAGCGACAATCGCCGCGTTCGGCGGTCGTACCATACATACATATCATACCGAAGGAGCAGGTTGTACACCTTGTAATTTACCGTCCCTGGTAGCTGACTCCCATCTAGGCGGTGGGCATGCCCCAGACATCATCACGGTCTGTGGCCTCGATAATGTCCTGCCCTCCTCTACAAACCCGACCCGACCCTTTGCGAACAACACTCTCGACGAACACTTGGATGTATGACACTTAGTTCACCCACTCTCATTCCGCCTCACCCTAAGTATAGATGCTGATGGTGTGCCATCATCTGGACAAAACGAATGCAGAAGACTTGGCTTTCGCAGAATCGCGTATACGCAAAGAAACGGTTGCGGCTGAAGACGTACTCCATGACTCCGGTGCGATCTCGATGATCAGCTCGGACTCCCAGGCAATGGGCCGCGTCGCCGAGGTTGTGAGCCGCACGTGGCGCACGGCGAGCAAGATGCGTACTTTCCGTGGCCCACTCACTGCTCTCGGTGATTCCGAGGGTCACGACAACGGGCGAGTTAAACGATACATTGCAAAGTATACCATTAATCCGTGAGCAGTTATTTTGAATTCACCTTTTCTCACTGCTAACTGTACTTTTCCGCAGTGCGATCACCCATGGCATCTCACATTTGGTTGGCCAGGTTGCTGTTGGAGCACTGGCCGATCTCGTCCTCTGGAAGCCAGAGAACTTTGGTTCCAAGCCCGAGATGGTGCTCAAATCCGGTGTCATAGCTTGGGCGCAGGTACGATTTCAGAAGCAACGTAGACTTCAATCCCTCATATCTGCGCTGTAGATGGGTGATGCGAATGCATCCATTCCTACAGTTCAACCCTTCTATGGGCGGCCCATGTGGGGCGCACATCCAGCGTCAGCGGCACGGAACTCGGTCAGTTTTGTTTCGAAGGTGTCTATTGACTCTGGAGTCATCGCCAAATACGGGTTGTCCAAGCGTGTGGAGGCGGTGCATGGCTGTCGTCGCGTTCGTAAAGGGGACATGAAATGGAACGATGCCACGCCACACGTAACGGTTGACCCCGAGTCCTTCGATGTGCGCGCCAATGGTGAGCTTGCGGATATCGCTCCGGCGGAGACTGTAGCACTTGCAAGGGCGTACAATGTATTTTGATGCAGAGGTTTTGAAGGTTTGTTTTTGTACGATTATGTACGGATGTACTTGGAGAATTGGAATGCACCAAACAGGTGACAAGAGGCCTCTTTATAACACCTCCACTTGCGTACAAGCATTCAGAATATTCAGATGTTGCCCATGACAACTTACACCCGCCCGACCAAAACACACATTAACTTACTCCATCCGACGGACGTGTGAATTTGTTTATATGACGGTAAGCAAGCTACTTTATATCTCTAACAACTGAACCTTTTCCTGGTGGGCATGCTTCCGTGATCATGGTATTCGTGTAAGAGTAGCGTTCCAAGTGCTGTGACCACGCCGCGGCGTTTCCAGTGAGCTACACCAACCGCCTCACTTGCCGTGGAAGGGCGGTTGCAAACGCGATGGACATCACTGAAACACCCGAAAGGACAAGATATACCATCCCACCACCTAGGTACCCTTCTGCCAATGACAAGGAGAAGAGCGACGTGGTAACTACTGGACCAATGGCACGCATTATGGCGACGAGTAGCTGCGCAAGACCGTTCGTCGCACCCAAAGATGCACGATTGGGAGATGCAGCAGAGAGATAGATGAAGATGCAACCTAAAGATACCAATCAGTTTGACCTTTATTCAGTCAACGACAACTACAACATACCGTAAGACGAGTTTACACCCAGGGCGAATGCGATTTGAAAAGCCACTGACAAATATACAACCCAGCCCACGCCATATACCCGTGCCAAGGCACTTGTCACAGGGAAAAGCACAAACATGGGAATCCCACAGAATAGCCCACCGATAAACAGCTTCTTCGTGCCCAATAGTGCGTGAATGCGGGCGAAGAAAAATAACTGGAAGATCGCATTCAATATGCCAAAGTACATAAGGATCCTGCCGATCGCCGGAGGTGCAAGCCCCAGTCCACCGTTGCTAACGGGTGTACTAAAGAACAGGGGCTGCATTGCGCGATAGGCGATGTCCACGAGCGAAAGAGTCGCGTAGTTTAGGACAGATAGCAGTACTGGCCGCGTCATCAACCGGCGCAGCGGATACGGCTTTTCAGCCTCATCAATTTCCACCACGGAGGGAGAGGGGTCAGACTTTTTGGTCAAGAGACTGCGAAAAGTCACGGGAGAAGATACTGTCTAAGGGGAAGTTGTTAGATAGATAAACAATGCACAGAAGCCACGTTCGTGCCTACCTCCTTTAAGAAAACAAAAGATAAGACCCACGCCAGAGCCGAGAATGTCGCAGGGACTGCACATGGAAGAAAGTATGGATATTTCTTCAAGAACTCGGAGTTTCCAAAGGTGTTTGGATAGCGCTCTGCGGGGCGTGATAGAGCCCCACCGATCATTGGGCTACAAGAACGGTTTTTATTGCCGATCGTCCGAGAGTGCATCCTACTCACCCCAATGTGCTACCAGTGGACCATGAGACCGGCATGTAAGCATAAACCTGCGGAAGATTTGTAGGGTCGGTGATCTCTGCGACAATACTCTTCATGATGCCAGAGTTGCCGTTCAGTGCTCCATTAATGCTCCGGCTGAGGCAAGTTAGAGTGACGCATTAGTGTGGGTGGCATGATCACATGCCTAAAAACAGCACCCCAATAAGACGTTGAGAGGCCAAAACAGTACATAGACAGTGACAGGCCGAAAAGCCCCGTGAGGAGAATCGGCTTACGACCGACGACATCAGAGAGCCTGCTCCACAGTAGTACAGTAAGAGCCTGGCTGGCAAAGAAAATGGATTGCTAGGCGGGCGTTATGTGAAGCACGCAGAGGGTAAACTTTGAAACACACCAGCAGGCCAACGTAATATCCTACGCGGGATTCATCGCCATGCGTGATCCCTACATTACGGACAAACTGTATAATAGGACTAAGAAAATAAAATTGATGTATCGAGAGAAGTAACGTACTTCTGGGGCGAAAGGGTATATGACTTGAGAGGTGAGTGGCTCCGCAAGCTGGAGAACAAGCAGTACCCAGAGTTGAGCCCACGGAACAGGCGTCACCAGATTCTCCGTTACAGTCTCCGAAGAGAGCAAAGGGGTTTCTTCGTCTTGAGAAGGGTGATCAGAATCGTTACGAGTCATTGGGGACGTTAGGTGAGCAGTTAATGGTCACGATTGTACGGAACGGCCTTATGTACTATATGTACACTGGCAAACCCCGTCGGCCCATCACGGCCGACCGATAGGGATTGGGGTCAACAAATATCGCCAACCGCCACCGATGGCTCCACGCTCTCCACTCTGTGGGCCCATTTCAAGGCCCATTTGTAGTACTTTGTACAGGTTCTTGAGGTACTGTAACGATCATGATTAGCCAGCCTACCGAGTTATAAACAACCTTGGGTGAGTCGCCCTGTCCGACAATTATTGCCCCGGGCCATTACACATCGATCGTCGCGCAGAGCCCAAAAAGGTGTTCGCGATCTTCTCTTTGTACATGTACGTCTTAGGTAAACGGTACCTCAAACGGTTGTCAATGTGCCTTAGACAACGTCGTCCAGTTGGCGAGCTGGCGCAATGGTAGCGTGCTAGTTTCCGGCGCTAGCGGTTCTGGGTTCGAGTCCCAGGCTCGTCGATTTTTGTATCAGGTTATTTTTCGAATTTACAGGGATGAGTGATAGTACTCCAGTGTTTCCTGAGTTACTTTGGTTCTGATTAAAAGCGACATTGGTCGTCGATAGCTCGGAGCGAGTTCGGAGCGCCCAGTCTATTGCTTATGTAACACGTGCCCAACACGAGTCACCACAGGCAAGGTTGACGCGTAAACCAAGACCGTTCCTATCATCTATCATGGCTTTCTTCGGTGCAAGCTCCACATCCGCAAATGTCTCATCAACGGCGGAGAAGGACGTTGAAGTTTCAGATCCTCCCCCAGATTCGATATCTTCTCTTGCTTTCTGCCCCGTGGCAGATTTCCTTGCGGTTGGGAGCTGGGACAATAATGTGAGTTCATGCATTCTCCTCCCACATGCCTCCTCACGCGACAAATGAATTTCTAGGTGAGGATATACGAAGTAGGGGCAAATGGCCAGACTCAAGGAAAAGCAATGTATGGCCACCAGGGGCCGGTGCTCTCGGTCTGTTGGAACAAAGTACGCACTCATCACAAAAGTTGTAATTGGTTTCCCCTTTGATCATCGCTCTATAGGAAGGCAACAAGATCATATCTGGGGGAGGTGACAATGCTGCGCGTCTCTACGACATCCAAACTGGGCAGGCGCAACAGGTCGCGCAACACGACGCGCCTGTGAAGGTCGTCAAATGGCTCGAGACGCCACAGGGCAGCATTCTCGCTACCAGCTCTTGGGACAAAACCGTCAAGGTAATTTGTGTTTAGTCCTCTCCTCGGCTTGGGCCTGGTGTCTGACACTTGAGTAGTACTGGGATATGCGTTCAGCAAATCCAGTCTCGACGGTCCAACTGCCAGAGAGGTGCTACACACTCGATGTCTCGTACCCACTTTTGGTCGTCGGCACTGCAGAGCGTCACGTCCAGATTTTCAACCTCACGAATCCCACGACTCCCTACAAGGTACGAGCGTATGAGGATTCTCTCCTCTATCACGGTGTTGACCTTCTCGTCTCAGACCATGATGTCCCCATTAAAATGGCAAACGCGGGTAATATCCTGTTTCCCTACTGGCACTGGCTTTGCTATGGGTAGCGTTGAGGGGCGCGTAGCTATTCAGTATGTTGCCGTTCTTTCGCTTCAACCTGGTCTGATGATGTACGCTTTCCAAGATATGTCGACGAGAAGGACTCGCAGTACGGACCTTCTAACCTCTCACACATTTAGTTTGGGCATTGATCAGCCAGCGTGGTTAGGAATAACTTTTCCTTCAAGTGCCACCGCCGTGACCAAACGGCCACTTCGAAAGACCAGTCCCTCGTTTTTGCTGTAAACGATATCAACTTCCACCCTGTGCACGGCACATTCTCAACCTGCGGTATATTCCGTCTTCGTGCCCGCTCTTAATCTCATCTGACCCTTCCGCACCACAGGCTCAGATGGCACAATCAACTTCTGGGACAAAGACTCGCGTACACGATTGAAAAGTATTTGACGTTCTCTGTCCTGCACTGCGTGCTTTCTGACGATTGTGCGTAACAGCGTTCGACCCGTGTCCAGGCCCGGTCTCCTCCTCTGCGTTCAATCGTACGGGGACGATCTTTGCATACGCCGTATCGTATGACTGGTCAAAAGGTCATTCGGGTAATACCCCTGGACATCCCAACAAAATCATGCTGCATGCAGTCAAGGACGATGAGGTGAAGAAGCGCTCACAAAAGCGGTGACGAGCCGCGCGGAACCACTGGGCCCTCATGCATCGAGTCTTGTCACTGTGTAGAATACGCGCGACCCGCTGCGTTGTTGCGTCTCGATCTTGAATATGTTGTGTCATAGTTGACCCACTCTGACAGTCGACGTATGACCACGGTTCTTTGGTGACGAAGGACAAGTGGACTCACCTGTAGCTGATCAAACCGTAACGACGCAGTTGTGTCTCGCTCTCCTCTCGCATTAGTAAGGTAGTAGATATGCAATACTATAACATCAAATCCTACTGGTATCGTCGAATATGTTCATGCTCACGAGCTATTCCGCTTTTCCCATCGCCTCTTTCTTTTTCGCTTCTTTTGCGGCAAGAACCTCAAGCAGTGGATCAAGCTCGGAAGCCGGCTGCCGGTAAGAGCCCCCCCATCTATCTGCCCATGTGAAATATTGCCCGTAATTAACGGTGAAATAAAGGTGATGTAGGGTGTGGTGCGCCGGTCCATTGATGACATTTTCGAGAGCGTGGCCCGTAACCATGTCAGAGTCGTGAATCTGTGGGTCGGGGTTAGAATTGGGACGCGGACGAGTCGGATGGGGACGCACGAGAATACTCCAGAAGTTTACAAACACAAAAAGACCTAGATAGAGCCAGCGATGCAACGGGAAGACGAAGATGAAAAGATGATAAGGCACGGATTGTAGGTAACCGTCAAGGGGATGAAACGCGTGCGAAGCAAAAGGGGTTGGAACTACGACAATGGTTCAGAGGGGGTAGGAACCAAGAGCGATGAGACGTACTGAGCCATTTGTGGTGTGGCTTGTGAACGTACTTGTAGATCAGGGGGTGATGTAACAAGCGGTGTACCCAGTATATGCCGTAGTCAGTAAAAACCAGGAAGCTGTAGGTTTGGTGTCAAAGAAGGTGTAACGGGGACGGCGAAAGGACTTACAACGGTATCGAAAATAAGAGATACGCAAGACCATAGTCACCCACGTTATCGTACAACTTGGAGTAACCACGGACTTCAGCTTGGAACCAAGGCAGAGTAAGGAGGGCCATGCCAGGGAAAGCACGCAAACTGCATTGAATTTCGAGCTTGACTTGGTTTTTGAGAAAGCGTGGATGGCTCATCATCTCATGATTGAAGATGTAACGATAGGAAAGACCGGCGAAGATGAAGTAGAGGAAAAAAATGCCGATCAATGTAATGGCCGAAAGAGAGAGAAGCTGGCGCGGGATGTAGTCGCGGGGCCATGCAGAGACAGTTAAAATGGAAACGTCGTGGCTAGGTGGTAGTGGGGGGTGTGGCAGTAGAGAGAGGAGGTGATGATGCCAAGTTGTTGGTGACACAATTGGTGCGACGCTCGATTGGGAAATGTTCGCCTGAAGTGGAGGGGACACGAAGACAGAGGCCGGTACAATGTAACCCCACGCCTTGTCGAGGAGGTACTCGTCTGCGAGGCTCAGTACGAGGTCCATTTCCGTGATGCACAAGGACCGAAACCAAACCCCTTGGCGACGCGCTTATTTATTTATCACGAGAAAAAAAAGTCAGACCATTCTCGATTAACTTACAGTACAGTACTCTACCGCGCCGTCGTGCTGCCGCGTAGAGTTCACACCCGTCACAATGCTGACTCAGACGATCGACTCGAACCCGAGCTGCAAAACTTTCCTTCGTCATATTCTTGATCCATCTCCATCCCACTGCCAAAATAACAGCCTCATGCAGTCTGTACCAAAATAGTGAGTAACTATATTGTATTAACAGAGAGTCGGAGCCCGGCGTGTTTCTGGCGTTTTCGGCCGTTCCATCGGAATGTCATATCACATGACTCACCGGAACTCCCATCGCGGATTCGCGCGCTCGAATAACTGCTCGAATTTGCTCGAATCCGCTCCCATTGCTATGGGCATCGCTCTTCCTCCACCCACCTTCCCTCTGAATCTTGCCTCATAGACACACACACACTCTCTCTCTTCCCCCCTCTCGTTTTTCACCCTCACCAGATTGCATCACGAACGACTGCCAGACCTCCCTCGCGCAAATGGCTCCCAGGCCTCCCTGCCTCATCATGTTTTGCCTCGACTTGTCCTCCCCGTCAAGCTCTCCACTTGACCTTTCTTATACCACTCATACTGTACCCTCTTACCTTACCGGCTCGCTTCGCATATCATTTTGTATTGAAATCCCCTCTTATTCCCAAATAGACGGCACTCAGTTGCCACTGTTTCTCCCTGTTCGTTGTGTAGTCAGACATTGCAGAACATCGCTTTGTCTCTCGTCGTATTGCTCTTGCTTGCTCTCGGGTTCACTCCGCGTCAGAATCGAAGGCTTCCCATGGGTTCATGTCTGCAGCTGAACGTTGAACTCCTGAGTTGCACCGGTATGAATTCCTGAGTTAGAGTTGGCGTTGAGTCGCCAACATGACTTGGACTGCGCAGCAGCACAGGAACAGTAAATCTATGATAGAAGACGCTGTGCGAGGTGTGGGAACCTTCGGATTCAAATCTGCTGCCGAACTCGCGTGCGAAATTCTCGAGTTGCTACCAAGGTTGCTACTGTAACTCGAATCCGCGGCAACGCTACGCGTCGTATATGTTCCCTCCGAGTCAGTCGCTATGACATTTCACCGGCTCATTGTCGAGTGTGCAGATATCCTTGTTATCGAATTGCGTCACAATTTCAGGGGTTCCGAGGTCGAGAAACTTCAAGGCCACTGCCAAGCGTCGGAATTATAGCCACTCGCAGTACACAGTGTTCATCGTGACGACCACCACAATATGAGTATGACAGGGTCACATCTTCACATACAACTATCAAAACCTCATGCACGTGGCTATTGGACCCTCACCGACCCCATTTAATAATAGCCCTCGTGTCGCTATTGTTGCTATCACAATACCGGCAAGATGCCCTGCGTTCTATTGTTCTGGTAACGTGCTTTTTCCGCGGAGGTCGAGCAGCTCTGTCCATTCTTCTCTTGTGTGCCAAAAGGCGATAACAAAAGCAGAACACACCGCGTGCAGACACCCTCGTGTGTGGTTGTTGCGAGCACTTCATCCTCCCTGTTGCCATTCCACGGGTGCATGGTGCATATAAAAAGAATGCACCTCGACCGACCTTTGACCCCTACCCTCTCGAGTCCTCTCTCCTCTCCTTCGTTGCTCATTACAGGCTGGTCCTTTTTTGACTTAATATTTTCCCATAAATATCACCGTCCAGGACTGACGCGATGAAGACAACCTCTCCTTTCATCCTGTTTCTCGGAAGCCTACTTTCTCTATCTCTTCTTGAA